TGGCCACAACGTGCAGCTTGTTGTTCATTACGGGAGGTTTATATACCTGAGTATCCTCGCTTGGCCACTGCAAAGACCAACTCCGTTTCCGTCTCTGTCGCTCTAACTCTAACCTCGTGAGGCGACGAGCGAATCATAGAGCTGACGGCGGAGGATGCCAAGAAGATCACGCAATCCCTCGCCGGTAGTGACGACGAACAGTCTCACGGCGTCTTTGTCAAGGGCTCCCTCCAATGTCGGAAGGGAGCCAAACTTGGAGGGGTCCCGGTGGAAGCTCGGCTCGATTGTCTCATGCGACGTTTTTCCTGAAGCCTTTGCGGATCAGAGGATGTCTTCCCTTTTGGTCGTCGGGTGCCAATATCAGTGTTGGAAGTCAGGAGAACCTGGTGATCCAGGGAATCCTTTGCCGCTTGCTCAGACATGTAGCATGGTCGGAGTTCCCAAAGTATCGGATGCAAAAGTCTGCGAAGCATTTGTGTCAGTATCTGTGTCGATTTGCGAGACTCGAGGCGAGGAAGGCCCGCAGCGCAAGGATTACTGGAACCGTGGCAGTGCTGCTCGGCTGATGCACATGGGCAACCCACATTACCCGGCATTAGTTGCGAGGGCAAGTCGCAGGTACAGAGGTTTCGGGGAGGCAGATGGGACGACTTCTGTCAGGAGCGTCAGGAACGGTGGCGCACCACGGCCAAGCACGGACGCCGGCTGTCTCAGGACCCTTGGCAACATGGAGCCTCAGCAGTCATGCAAGGGTTTGGCGATGGCATCAACGGTGGCATTGGGCATTTGCAGGATGCGATCCCCGAAAAGCTGCTCGGGAAGCAGCTCGGCGAGATGAACGCCCGGAGGCAGAAGGAGCTGCTGAAGAAGCCGGGGACGGTCGTGGTGCTTCGCAGCGGCGCAGCTTGATCGCACCTGGCCAAGTCTAAACCTGCGAAGTTTGCGGCCCAGGGGCCGCAAGAACTTGGGCCAGGTGGCCTTCGTCGACGTCGTCAAGCAGGGCCAGTTTGCGCCCCTTTGCGCGTTCGTCTCGCACTTCTGGGGCGAGGACCGCGTGACGTCGCGAGTGGCCCCGGAGCCTCTAACGAGATGCCCCAAAGACGCATTTCGTGGCAAGTGGGGAGAAACGGGATGAGGAGATCGAACCGATTAAAACCCCTTGTTTGGTCGTAGGATGCTGAGATGGGGCTGTCGCAGGAAACGCTTTCCTTCGCCAAGTCCTTGCGACTGCACGGTGAGAAGGTGCACCCAGCAAATCCAGGACACCGCGAATCCTCGATTTTTGGTTTCTGCAACTTTGAATGCAAGATTCTCGTAGTGTCAGCGCGAGGAGCCATGTGCTACTACATCTGCTCGTTGCTTGGCAGAGCGGAGCCACAAGTAGGCAGCTTCAAAGGCCAATCTTGAGGAGTACGGAAAGAGATGTGGAGAGACATCTATTTGACAGCTCAGGTTCTCGAATTGCCAGCACGCGGTAGCCGGCTCCCTACACAATCCTACAGTGTCCTACAGTCTTACAGTCGGCAGTCTACCGTCCTTCCACCTCTGCAGGATCTTGGAGGAACAGATTGGCAAGTCTCGCCCTTTAATCGGGCCCTGAAATATGTCGCAAATTGCTCCTCCCTGAGTTGCTGGAATCTGCGAGCTTTGCCGTGGAGTGGGTCCAGATCCTGTCTTTCTCTTTCGACTTCCATCGTGAGGCCGCCATGTGAAGCAGGATTCCGTGTATTGCGCGGTGATGCTGCGCCGATCTCGGCGGAGCGTGTTCTCTGCGAATGTCTTTGTCGGCCTTCAGCGCCCTTGTGGCCGGCCGAGGTTCGACGAGAGCTGCAGCACGCTAGAGTGGCACGGCGGAGTAGAGCCGTTTTAAACAAGTTGGACAGAGATCTGTTCTCTGTGCAGACGCATGGGGTTCCTCTTTGAGGCGGATCTGGTGCATTTTTGAGATCTGGCGCTGCTGCAAGTTGGAACTTCGGCTGGACTTGCGCCTCAATCGCACGTTGTCTCGTCCCACCTGGACTTTGGGGCTTCTGAGATGCACCGTCTCTCTCTGTGTGTCACTGTGTAGCTTTTTCCCGCTGCAGGTTCTCTGTGGAGGGCCAGCTGACGCGCGGATCCAGCACTCCCCTCGCCTGCAAGATCCGCGAGCGGGCGAAGGTCCTGGACTTGTCCAACACCGAGTGCTCCGAGATGGGCGACGCTCGGCTGGGCACAAGCAAGTCTGCATGTGCATTGCTCCGCAACTCGCATAACACGCAGAGATGCTGCCACATCCCAGGACAAGCTCATGATCGAAAAGGCCGTCGAGACGAGCGGCACGAGCTGGGCCCAGATCGCTGGCGTGATCCAGCTGCAGGCAGGGCGCCCTGTCGCAGATCTCAGACCCCGTGCCCCGGCCCACTCCTCGCTGCCTCTGCAAGATCACAAGCCTGGTTGATTTCTCCGCTAGCCTGGCCATCTCACGGAATGCCCTCACAGGCATGGCGTGACCTTTCTTGCTATGATTGCGGAGAGCACGCCCAAGATTGAGTGGCGTTTTGCTCCTGCAGCAGCCTGCAGGCGAAGAGGTGACAGCAGAGGACGTTGAGATGCGGATGTCCGAAACCTCCGAAGCGCAGGCCCCGGCTCCTGTGGCACTTACGTGGACTGCGCAAACCAACACATCCAGCAGCGGACGGAGAATCAGCTGAGGTCCGAGATTCGTCCAGCATCATCAGCGACTGCATGCAGGCCCGAAACTTAGGAGGTATATCCATGGCGGGCAGGTTTAAAGACTGCGGGATTCACTGCTGCAGGGCCAGCTGCCGCGCATTCTCGTCGTTGGGCAAGGAGGCACCTCACAGACCCTCTCACATCGGGCAGTCCTTGGCGCGCCGTTGCCTGCGCAGTGCCCGACAGAGGTACCGGAAAGTCAGTATTTGCGCGTGAGGTCGTGAGGAGAGTCGCGCAGGCGCAGTTTTCCTGCCTTCTGGTTCTGCCATCGGCTCCCGTGCATTCCCTTGCCATGCAAACCGGGCTTGATGTCGTGCGGCCTTTCTAACAGGCGCGGGAGGAGGGCGCGGGCCTCATGTTGTGCTGCGAAGTTGCAGGACTTGGTGAGATCTGAGGCGGGGTCCAGGAAGCAGTGATCCCGCTCCGGGTCCCCTTAGCAGAGCTGGCAGACATCAAGGACCCGCCCGGCTTGAGTTACATAATTATATGTGTATGTGTGTGCATATATATATATATAAATAATATATATATATAATATATATATAATATATATATATATATAATTATATGTATTTTCACATAGTCAGACATATACACGCATCATGTATGTATGCGATTCGGTATGATCATGTATGCTTGTGTATGGTTATGCATGGTAGGCATGAATTCATGATGAATGTTTGCGTGTTTGCGGGAATGAACGACTTAATGGATGAATGAATGAATGAATGAATGAATGCCCGCGTGTCTGTATGTCTGTATGCCTGTATGTCTGTGTGCACGCGTGCATGCACTACGTACTTATCTATCTATCTACCTATCTTTCTAGCTGGCTAACTATCTGTCTATCTACCTATTTCTACCATCCAGCCAGCTACCTATCTATATCTATCTATCTACCTACCTACCTGCCTATCTATCTGTCTACCTACCTATATCGAACCTATCGATCTATCGGTCTATCCTGTCAATCACTCTACCTGCCTATCACTCTTTCAGCCTATCTATCTGTCTATCTACCTATTTTTTTAACTCACTATCCACGTGCATTGGCTCATAGTCTGAATTGCCACACCGTGTAAGCCGCGAAGAACACGAGCTAGACATGATGTTTCAATTCTGTTTCCGCGAATGTTGCACGTGTGTGTTGCGGATGCTGCCTACAGAGTCGATGCTGCTTCTCAGGAAGAAGGAGTCGACCTGCCACTCCTCTGCACTTCAGCTCTCGCCAGCTTTCCCTCTTGTAGAATCTGGCGTGCGGCGCGCAAGGGTTGGAATTGCGTTTGAAGGGATTCCTGTGCAGACGCTGAGGCTTCAAGCCTGGGCAAAGCGAGCCTTCGGCAGCGACAGCGACGAAATTCTGAGAGGCGCAGCGCCAGGCTCACTGTCGGCTGACTGGTTGTGGCCCGAGACACTGTTGTGTCAGGCGATCGGCGGCTCGTCCTGGTCCTGGACGGCCTGGACGAAGCCGCCATCGCCCGCCGGCGGATACTCGATTGGCTCGAGCAGTGGCTGCAGCTCTTCGGCCAGCAATTTTGCATTGAATTGTTAGAGCACGCACGCTGCTTGTCGTCAACGCTCCGGCCCAGGGCAAACGGCCGCCGATGCATCTGCACCATCATCGCTTCTCGGCCGTCCGGCACCAACCAGCCCGGATCCCAGCACGCCTTTGGAAGGTCTAAGGATTCGGAACTTTCATCAAAGCTGCTCTCGATGCTGGGCTGAGGGTGCTGGCCAGCGATGGCAGCGCTCGCGAGCCGGCGGCATCCGTGGTCCTCGGCCAGTTCTCCGAGACGTCGCTGCTGACCCAGGCAGGCCGGCAAGCTGCGACTGCCGGCGGCGTGCGAGTTTCAAGCGGCATCACATCCATTTGCCGCATCGGCTGCCGAAGTGCGCATCTTTGGATCATTCCCGCTGTCGTCTCCACACTTGCAGCTCCATGCGTCTCTGCACGGACGCGCCAGCGTTTTCGCGCCTTGAGCCGAAGCGTCGCAGGAGCCGCTGCCGGTCTCCTCCCACGTGCGGCTGCGAGACGGCACTGGGCAGACCCTGGGAGCTGGCACCGTCCTCTCCTGCGAGGAGGCGCCGCGGGCACAGCGGAAAAAAGCCCGGCTGCCGAGAATCGTCGGCAGAGAGCTCTTGGGCACCGGCCAGGGCTTTCTGCTCCAGAAGGAAGAGGTGAACGGCCTGGAGCCCGGGGTGCACTCCCTGAAGGTGCGCCGGAAGGCCCACGTGCACACCTTGTAAAATTCCTGATAAATACCGTTACTCGTGGCTCTGCCCGACAGGGTCCGGAGAGTGTCTTCTCTGCCGCGGTGTCCCTGGACTACGCTGAGCGCTCCAGTGCCCAGGTGATGCTGGAGCGGGCCTTGCGAACGGCCGGCGGCGATCCGGACAAGCCTCATCGCGTGCTGGCGCGCCGGGCCGACGGCGAAGTCTGGAAGGACCGAGAGGGCGGGCCGCTCCCTGCGCTGGGAGCCGTCGGGGCCTCGTTGTGCGACTTTCGCCAGGACTTCAGACCGAGCTACAGGCCCATCAACTACGACGAGATGTTGAAGTGGCCCAAAGGCGCCTTTCCCTGCCGCGCCTTCCTGAAGACCCGCAAAGTCGCGGCCGACGACCACAAAGTCGAAGACGTGCAAGTGTGCAGGCCTCAGATCGAGTGCGCTCAGCCAGCAGCCGCGTCGCCTTTTGTTCTCGCACAACGTAGTTCAGCGACAAAGTCTAGGAGCTTCCGTGAGACGTCGGCCGGGATCTTCCTGGAGGGTGACCTGGAACCAGGCCAGGCCGCTTGCTCTCCCTCTCTCTCTCTCTCTCTCTTAAGCGCGGCTCGCTTGTTTCCCTGCTTAGGCGATCGGGTCGAGCTCGGGAGCGACGGGGGACACAGAGAACTCCTGCCTCTGGACCGCCTCTCGGCGAAAACTTGGACCGCGCTGCCGTCGCATACTTCTGTGCTGAGACGTGCAGCTGCTCAGGTGTCTTCCGGGTGGTCCTGACCGCGGAGGTCCCACGCTGCCCGGCGAGTCTGGCGGAGATGACGGTGCAGGATGAGTTGTCCCTGCAGCCCTGGCCTGGGCTGTCGTACGGAGCGCGAGCTTCGGAGAGCTTCGGCCCGGGGCTTTCCATGCCGTGCACAAGGCTCGGCTTTGCGCCGCTGGAGATCCTGCCGCTCAGTCCTCCCGTGGCTTCGAGGCCGGCCAACTCGGCGAGGTGGCAGGAAATCTTCGAAGCACGGTGCCCTCGTTTTGCAGGATCTCGAAGTTCGGCGAGGAGGAGCTGCGAGCACTCCCGGAAGCGGCCCCTCGACTCAGCAGATCGTCAGGAATGTGATGTCACATGCACTTAGCGGGGCCGCTGGGCACCGCAGTATGGCCGTCTCATTTCTTGCGTGCCGTTTGCTAGATTTTCCCAGTGCAGGTTTGGCGGACGCCCCTGATGGCCAGCATCCTGGGCCCCGGCCCCGTTCAGCTGCGCAGAGTTTTGAGCCAGGGGCAGGGGGTGGGGGGGGGGCCGGAGGTTTCTACATGTTGAATTTTACATGTAACATCCATGCTACGAGAAGACAGTGATGCAAGCCCGGCAGAGGCAAATATCCTCGGGGCCAGAAGGACCGAAGCATCAAATGCACCTGCTCTCTGGCTTCTGATTCCCTGCCTCTCCCTTTCCCGCCCTCTCTCGAGGTTGCAGACAGAGAGTAGAATCAGTATGCACATCACCATGCTGATTGCAGGAGGAAGAACTCGACGGCGCCACGGCGGAGCTGGTGCTGATGGAGCACGCGGTGGCAATGCTGCTGAAGCAGGCGAGTCCATGTAACGGTACAGACTCGGGCGAATCAGTCGCAACCAGACGCTACGTCTGGATTGGTGCACGTCTGCTAAGTCTGCCAGCGTATCGGCAGAGAGCCAGGCAGAGGAGCGGGCCGGCTGCAAGGAGCTGCGATCAGAGCTGGGCCCGCTGTGCTTGGCCAAGCTCCAGGCAACTCGCCCGGGCACCCGCAAAGAACTTTCAGGAATCCGCTTGTGCTCTCGCTGCAGGCGGGCCAGAGGCTGCTGTGGGAGTCGGACTTCACCAGCCAGGCAGGCACTGTAGGAGCGCCCATGGATGACTGCGTCTCAGGTGTTGCAGGACCTCCGTGAGTCCCAAGTAATTACTTAGATAGAATGATGATGCCCATGCATGTTCACACAGTGTCTTGTCATGAGCCTTCAACACATCAAAAATGAAAACACCAGCGCAAAAAACAGCTGCGGTCGCAACTGGAACCCGTCAGGCATGCACAGCTGACACGGTTTACATGCTGTTTCGCTGACGCCCTGTTTTTGCATCCAGGTGGTCTTCCAGGAAGCGCAGCTCGGGCACTTGAGATTCTTCGAGCCAGCTGGCCAAGCGGTGGCGCAAACCGTGCTTGGAGATTTTCATCGGGTCAGAAGTTCGAAGTGGTTCACACCCTTTGCCAGGTGCAGCTATACCACCTGCGAATGCAGGAGTTCCTGGCTGCAGAGGCGCCGCGCGGAGATCGTGCCCGTGAGCGCTATTGCTATTGCTATTCTCGGTAGACATTGTGATTTTGCGAATGATTATACAAAGATTGAGCCGCGGCTGACAGGCCCGGTTGGCGGGTGCCCAGGCGCCGGCCTGGAGAGAAGCCTTCGCCGAAGCGCAGGAGCAGCCGATGTTGCGAGGCCTGCACATCCACAGTCGCATTTTTGTCAGATCTGCGTGGTCACCGTGACCGAAGACACACCCACGGAGACAGAGACTTCGTGGCTTCAGCTCCGGTCTCCCACAGGTGCCCTCCGCTTCTGTCTGATGATGCAGACGGCCGACGCGGCGGAGGCAGAGATCGACCTTAAAGAAACAAAGTTGGTCGCCGCGGACGTGGAGGCGTTCCAAGGACTTCTTGTGCATGGGCATTGGGAGCCTCTAAATACTCTCTACACACCTAGAAAATGCAGCCAGATGTGGGTGCTGGTGAGGGCGCTGTGGGCGGTGAGGGCGGGGGGGCGTCGGCACGCATTGGGAGCCTCTAAATACTCTCTAAACACCCAGAAAATGAAGCCAGATGTGGGTGCTGGTGAGGGCGCTGTAGGCGGGGGGGCGTCGGCGTATACTCTCTACACACCTATAGCGTGAGTCGGCTTCTTTCCGGAGGAGCCCTGCTTTGCACCGAGAAGCTGGCGCTCAACTTGGATGAAAACCATCTGGGTGAGGGACCCGGACTGCGCGGGGTCGGATTTGTTGTCATAATTATAAATTAGACTATACAGTGAAGCCCGACCAGCCAGCGGAATGAATCCGTTTCAACGGGGTTTGACAGCTAATGGCCTAGCTGACTCAATCTCGAGGGTCCGGCAATTATTGGATTTCGTATGTTTCGTTGAAAGATTCCAGGGGCTTCTGCTCCAGTGGTTTCAGTGAGAGGCCCCGAGGGCGCCAGCAGCTTGTCCTCTGCGCTGCCCAAATGGCTCCGACAGCTGCGGCTGGACCTGATTCGGAACAGCATCGGCCGGGGATCCTAGCGGGGTTCCTCGGATGGCCAGGAAGGTTGCTCGCGCCGTGCAAAAGCTTGAGCAGATTTTTGTTGATTCCTGTGAGAGTTCGTGGGCCAAACGTCTCTATGCCGTTTCACAGCTTCGATCCAAAAAACGGCTCCCCCGAAAACAAAAACCATGTGCTTTTGCGAGTGTTTGCAGGTTGCCACCTGCAAGGCCTTTACAGAGCACTGCATAGGATCTCGTGTGCCTAGCCTCAGCTACAACACTTCGTGAAGAGTCACAAGATGTCACAGGTGTCCAACGCTTCAACACTCCCCCATTGGGAAGTGCATGTCCTTTGTAAGCAGGTGAGGGCGCCGACTCACTGACACCTTTCGGGGCCCAACTTTGCTTGATTCCTGTGAGAGTTGGTAGGTCCTGCCCGCCACAGCTCCGATCCAAAACAACGGCTCCCCTGAAAAAGGAGCTTATGTGAGTTTTCTTTTGCAGCTGTCTACTGTTGCGACCTTCAAGGCCTGACCAGACTCCTCATAGCCAACTTTGGGTGTCTTTGCTGTCTTCCTGCGACTCCCACTTGATATGGAAACTGGGAGTCCTCGACGGGCCTGTCTGCCAGAG